TGTGATAAAGTTTCCTTCAAGGCCTTCTGTGTCCAACAGGCAAACAGCAAGCAGACACAGGCTGAGAAATTGAAGACATGTAGCGCACTGTTTCGTAACAGAAATAAAGGACTCTGCAACATTGGCTCCAGGTCACAGTGCCCAACCGCAGGGCCATGGGATTTCTGGCTTTGGAGAACAGACAAAATTTGGTGGCCCAGTAAATAACCAAATTAGAACATGTGCATGTGATGGGTTTGTGAAACAAAGGAATATGCTGACAGGACAGAACATGGACAGTATAATGACCACAAGGAGACCAATCAATGATGCCCAGAGATGAAAAGTCATCAGAGGGGAGAAAGAATACAAAAAGAAGGATTTCAGAGCAGCAAAGGGTCCCTGAGAGGGAAACCTGAGGCCACCATGGACAGAGGGTATACCACCAGCCCATCTCACCTATCCCACAGTGGGGGAGGAGTTTGGCATCCAACCTCCAGGCAGCTGACATCTTACATTCAAGAAAGAACCTCAGGGTGAAGCTCGCATACTGGCCAGATGTATGCACCTTGACTCTATGACAGCTCTAGGACTGGTAGTTATATAATTGTTTGTATTACTCTTATCTTCTATCAATATGTATCAATAAAATTTGCCTATTATTGAATGGAGATATCGTGGTCAGTCTGACAGTTTGGGTTCACCTGGAACAAGGTATCTGAATCATAAATCCAGTGCCAACACTCTTGGAATCTCAGTGTGGGTTTAGGGTATCAAGAGGCACAACTGACATGATCTTCACAGCTTACCAGCTGCAGGAGAAATGCCAGGGACAACATAAGCCTCTCTACATGGCCTTCTTTGACCTCACAAAAGTTTTCGACTCTGTCAGCCAAGAAGTGTTGTGGAGGATCCTTCTGAAGTATGGATGCCCACCAAAATTTGTCATCATTCTCTGCCTGCTCTGTGATGGTATGCAAGCAGTGGTTCTTAGTAATGGATCTATAACAGATCCCTGTGAGGTTAAAAAGTGAGTGAAGCAAGACTGCAGCATCGCTCTTACACTCTTCTCAATATTTCTGGCCACGATGCTACATATCACCACCAATAAGCTTCCAGCTGGAGTGAAGCTAAACTATCAAATGGATGGTCAGCTGTTTAACCTCAGCTGACTCTGAGCCAAAACCAAGACCACCACAGCCTCACTCATTGAGCTGCAGTACACTGATGGTGTTATAGTGTGTGTTTACTCAAAAGCAGATGTTCAGGCAATCGTTGACATCTTTACCAAGGCATAGAAGGAAATGGCATTGATGCTTTACATTCAAAAGATTAAGGTCCTCCACCAGCAAGCTCCTAATGAACAGTCCTCAGCTCTGGTAATCCAGATCCATGGTGAGACTCTGGGAAATGTTGAGCATTTTTCCCATACCTTGGAAGCCATCTCTCACAGAACGCTGATATCAACAAAGAAATCCAACATCACCTAAAATGTGCAATGCATTCTTTGGAAGCCTGAAGAAATGGGTGTTCAAAGACTGTGACATCAGCTCCAAAACCAAGCTCATGGTTTATCAAGCAGTTATGGTCCCACCTTGCTGTCTGGAGCTGAGACATGGATAACATACAGAAGACATGTAAAGTTGCTGGAGAAATACCATCAGTGCTGCCTGTGGAAGATCCTCTGAATCTATTGAGAAGACAGACACACCACCATTAGTGTCCAGCAAACACCACGAGTATTGAGGTGATGATCATCCAACATCAGCTTCATTGGGCAGGCCATGTCATCTGGATGTCCAACTTCAGACTCCCAAAGCAAGTTTTAAGAAGACAGACACACCACCATTAGTGTCCAGCAAACACCACGAGTATTGAGGTGATGATCATCCAACATCAGCTTCATTGGGCAGGCCATGTCATCTGGATGTCCAACTTCAGACTCCCAAAGCAAGTTTTATTCTCCCAGCTTAGCCAAGGCATATGCTCAACTTTAAAAAATGCAATTTCAATGTCAACTTGTGCGAGATTGTTGCCCAGAACCACTCCAAATTGAGGAAGAGTCTGCTGCAGGAATCTCAATACTTTGAAACCTCATGACAACAGTGAGATAGAAAAGCAGGAGTGACAGAAACAGCATGCCACAGACCAAATCAAGAATCCAGTAGAACTCACCCCACACAGAAACACATGTCCGAGCTTCCGTAGAGTCTGTCGATCCTGAATAGGCCTCATAAGCCATCATTAGACACATAGATAAGACAGTCATGGAAGACAATCACCCTCGACTGCAAGGGTTTGCTGAAGAAGACTGGTACAACATCCTCTATTATGGCTTGTGACAAAGGAGTCTAGGTAGCTGGAATCTACCTTGCAGAGCTGGTGGGGAGCACTTTAGCTGGTGGGCAGGCTATACTGTAAATAATGTCTGTAAATAGTTCCCTAAATAGGACATCTAGATGCCTTTTTAACTCAAGTGCAGATGGCAGTCTAGACCTGAAAGCAGGTCATAGAGACTGCAATTTGATTAGTTGCCCATGACATAATGCACACCATTATGTCATGACATACCAACTGCAGAGACTTCCTCAGCCTGATAAAGGGCTTTTAAACCTGAAAGCTTGCTAAAAAAAATTTTCCAACCATTTAAGCTGGTCTAAGTTGGTCTCTTTAAGTTGGTTAAGATATCAGATTCACCCCAAGAACCTTGTCTGCTCATGACATAATGTGTCACTGGGCAAGTGTTGTCCCTAGGTTAAGACTATAGCAACTGTTTTGTCGCAAGTGTGGCTGACTGGGCTTGAGGAGAATGTGTGAAGCTTTGAGAGAGCTGTGGGGAGAGGACAGACGGTCCCAGGGTATACAGGGACAAGATCCCAGGGCAGACAGAGAAAAGGAATGGTCCCAGTAAGGACAATGTAAAGTCCAAGTGAGGACAGAAGGAACTGGAAGGACACAATAAAAACTGTTTGTTTTGAAGCAGGGTCTGATTTGCTTTTGGAGGCAGCAGGCACTCTGATAACCCTATTCTTTTAAAGAAGAAAATACCTTCCCACCTTCCCAGGAACTGACTCAAAAAAAAGGAGCTCCCAGAGGTGGGGATGCTATATATCAACAGGGAACCCAGGACTGAGAAGAGCCAGGTATCAAAGCTAAAGATTTGCCTCTTGTGAAGCCACACTAGGTCTGGCCACAGGGGGTTCCCTCAGGAAAGGGAAACCAAATAAGGCTGCTTCTTGGAAAAGTCCAGATGAAGAGCCTTTTTCATTTCCTCTGAAAAGGCAGGTTGATCCTTTCCAAGATGGATATGCTTGTTTATGCTACAAAGATGAGAAAGGAAGAAGAGAGGAAATAGAGTATCAATTCCTGGTTAAGAAAAGATACTTGACGTTGTATTGTGCAGCATTAACCAGCAAATGCCATTTTACTTAATATGCAACAGGAGACAAATTCATACATAAAAGGTACCCATCAGTCTCCCAATTTATGCCTCCTTAAATCTTCCCTCAATTTGAGTTTAGATTGAAATGACTCTATTACAAAATAAAAATGAAGTATTAAAAATCCTGAGGCACTTTATAAATACCTATTATAAAATCTAATACATTACACAAGACAAGTCCACACAGCCTTTCTCCTCATCCCACACCCATGGCAAACAACATAAGCCCTACTCACTCACTCCTACATGGGAGCTCCCAAGGTCAGAAGAAAGGCCATGTACACATCTGCATAGAGATGCTGAGCCATACTGGGCACTGACAGACATACAGCTCCTTGCTGTAACTCATGGCACTTCACAGAAAGTTCAATGAGTTAATGACCCTCCACCCCCAACCCAACAGAGATTTGCTGTTGGCTTGGGGGGGTCAGGGATCAAGCTGCACTGTGGAACCACTCCAGGAGGAGCTGTGTGCAGTCTCTCTCCCCTAGCCTTACCCCCCACCCCCACGTCCTCCCAGCTCCAGTGCTATCTTCATGATGGGAGGGGGAGAAGGGAGGGGAGGTAGCTCCGGGCTTTGGTTTGCCCAGCCTGCACTAGAGGGGGTTGTGTGGATTGGAGCCAGTTTCAACAGGATGGGTATTCTTCAATTCTTGTCCAGAGGGCAGGATCACATTCTTGCAAACTGTTGCCACTTACAAATGAGAGTGCTACTCCCAAATCTCAATTGCAACGGTAAGACTTCTCCTTTGGGTAGAATTACCAAATCCTTCGAAACTTCAAAAAATAGCACCATGATGAGGGGCTATCTACCTTAAGTATTGCAGTAGCAACAGAGATTGTCTTCCAAAGGATGTTTTCAGATAAATGCCTTTTTATTTACTGGATGTCAATTCTTTTCTCAGAATAAGAGTCCATAATTTCACACTAAAAATGTGTTTGTTTCAACCTGTCACAATGATGCCACTAAATAAGACAACACCTATATATATAGCAGCCAGTGCAGAGTTACTAAACTAGTCTCTCTTCTCTGAAATAGATATAATTCATTTTATTTTCTTTGAGTACTGCTGATTAACTGATACTGTACTCTATTATTTTTTTAAAAAGGAAATACTAAAGCATGGCCCTGTAGCAACGTCACCATATGGAGACATGTAGATGCACCCTCTATTTAACACAGGATGCTAACCTCTACACCAGAGATCAGATACTATCCAGTCCACTTTCCAGCCCTCTTTATGAACCTGAGCCCCTGCCCCTTGTATTTAATAGTCATTGAATAAAATGAAAGGAGAACAGCATGGTGCAGAAGTTTCTGCTACAGTGGAAGCAAAGGTTCAGGCTAGAACCCAAGGACTGCTCTCTTTATATGTACTAACAACATAAAATTCAATAACTATTCAACCAAAAATATATAAAATTACTATAAAATGACATCAGGTTCTTCAAGCCATACTGTATCCTACACATAGATTTGACTCATGACTTAATAGCAAATATACTATATTTTTGTCTGACATTTTATCTAAACAAAAGTGAAATAGAAATACTTCTTATCATTGCAAGATGCTCTTACCTCTTCCTTTGTCTTTTTTGATATGACTCTTAGCCAGTCTCCAATCATGCTGAGAACAGCCGCAAAGTAAGCAAGTCCTACAAGGATCCAAAACCAAACCACTGGCTTGTAGAAATCAAGGTATTCAATATCTGATCCACCTGAAAAAAAGCATGTCAGATTGGTACATGCAACATCATACTTAATGATTTCCTTTTCTCTCTTTTTTTATTTTATTTTATACATCTTGGCTAGGGACAGACATTACATATAAACTGGTTTAAGTGATCAGAAACTGGTTTAAATCTGTAACTGAGCAGGTATTCAGTACACATAAACTGGTTTCAAAAAGGCCAAGATCAGTTTAAGATAGACCTGGATGAATGTAGTTATCAAACTTAACTGAGTTAAGTTAAACCACTCTATTGAACTTCTGCACAAGATTCCCCCCCAACTCAAGTTAACTCACAGTCCCCCAATAACCCAGGATGCTTTGCACCTCCCTCACAAATCCACCCTCACAGGGTGGGCAGGCTAGCCTTGGCCCATGCTGTCTTCTCCAGTCAAGCAAGGCTGGGTCAGCCCCACCCCCAGGCTGCCACATTGCTGAGGCAGCAAAACCTGTTCTTCAGCCCTGGTCCTGCCTGCACCTGTCAGCCCAATAGGTTGGGGGGAGGAGGAGCAGAAGAAAAGAGCCCCCCACCCCCAGTCCTGACCCCAGCCCCACCCCCACAGGTGCGGTGGGGGAGGAGCAGTCCCTCCAGCCCAGGGCCAAGCCACCATCCAGCATCAACCAACATGGGGGGGATCCCTGTGCCTTAGCAGAGGATTCCCCATATCGAGCAGGTCCCCATAGCCCTGCCATTGCTGCAGCGGGTGATCAATCCCCCACCCCGTACAGTCCAGCAACAACTTAGACCACCCACACAGACATAGGCTGGTGAGGTGGGAAACAGTACCTCTAGCCTGGTCCTGAGCCAGTGCCAGACCATACTGAGGGGTTGGTAGGAGGAATTCCCCCTTTGTGCTGTTGGCAGGGCTCAGGAGACTCTGCCTGGGACAGGAGACGCCCTATACCTGGAGGGACTGTTCCACCCTACACCTGTGGGGCGGTCTTAAGCCAGTGTCAGACTGTGCTGAGGACTGGGAGCAGAGATTTTCCCCTCTGGCAGGGCTCGCTGAGACCCTGCCCAGGCCAGGGGACCCCGACTGCAGGTGGACAGCAGGGGTTTGGAGACCATGTGCTGGGCAGCCAATCAGGGATGGGACCTGCTCAGCTGCATTTGGGTGTCCTTGGCAGTGGGCAGCAGGCTGGGAAGCATGCTCTAGTGCTTCCTGCCCTCTGCTCTCAGCCACTACAGACATCTGCCTGCCTTTCCAGATTCAAAAGTGAATGCCAGTTCAATCTACTCAGTTTAAAGAAACCTACAAAGATTGAATCAATTCAGCCTCGGGCTTTTTGACTGTCTGTACTTAGCTCGTAATACTTACCTTTTTTCAACAGAGTTTTTGCTATCAGCACACTTTAAGAGTTTTCAAGAAAACAAAAGGAATGACATTCTCTGAACAAGACACTGTGGTCTAAATTCATCCATGGTAAAAGCTTTGAAATCAGTGGGATGAGAGAAAAGATCATTTTAAGTCAATGATTGTTAGTGGTTTCTAATCACTATAAAAATGGAAAATATTACATGGGTTCAGCTTCTAGACATCTGTTATCTACAAGCTAGCCAGTTCAAACAAGTAGGGATGCAAGGACTGAGATTCAACATGTGACTTTCCTCTCACCTCACCCAAAAATGTATGCTCTGCAACTTCCATATGTAGGTTAGTTTCAGGGAAGAATAAATAATATGTTCAGATCTGAAAGATGTTATTGTGGATGGAGATACATTTATTAAATATTTATCTACCTGGGCACTTAAATATTCCCTATTGCTTTAATAACTAAGTACCTCACAAACATTAAGATAGTGCCTAGTTGTTAAAAAGAGCAATCCATAAATCCAGACAATTACAGACCAGTTAACTAAATTCCAGCAATAGGTACAATCTTAAAACAGATTCTGAAGGAAAGAATAGATAAAGGCATGGAAGGAAATGGAAAATATGACCAAACACAATATGAGGCTATCAGAGGACAATTGTTTAAGCAAGATAACAGCTTTCTTCAATAAGGATGGGCTTGATTTTGTGCGAGACGGGAGTGGTCCGAGGCCCTCGGGGGCCTGCGCATGGCGGGCTGTGGCCAGCAGCCCGGACACACCGGGTCGGGGAATGCAGGCCAGCGGGCTAGAATTAGGCACGGACGCTTAGCGGTTGATTAAAGATTATTTTACTTACACCATAGATGGTCGCGGTGCAGGCAGGAAAACTTGCTTGAGTTGCAGTTACAAAACAAAACAAAACAAAACTTGAACCTGCAGGGCACGAGAGTACGTCGCAGGGGGTTTTCAGCGACGGGAAGATGCAAAACACGAGAGTACGTCGCAATGGGTTTTCGGTGACGGGAAGATAAACCTGCAGGACTCGAACCCGGACAGAGCTCTGGATACACTCACACGAAGTTTGCTAGGCTCCGTGGAACTTGCGCGCAGGGAAGGGGTTCGTTGAGGGATCGTTCGGCGACGGGGAGAGGCCAGAGGTTGATCAGACCCCTATAGCCTGCGCTGGGTTCGATAGCTCCGCAGCGCTTAGAGATCTTCACGAGACGTGAAGTTCTCCTCCTCCAGATGGTTGTGGAGTCCTCCCTTGGGGGGTTCTCCTTGGAGTTCTCCAACTTGGGCGGAAACCGCTCAAGCCTCTTATACGGCTGGCAAGCCAATCACTAGCCGCCACGTGGGAATAATTTAGAACTGGCCAATAGTGGGACACAAATTTGCATGCGAATGGCGGGAACTCCTTTGCACCGTGCATTTTCTCTTTGCAACTAAGAAATGCACCCTGCAAAGAAAGCTCCTAGTGGTGGGAAATAATTTAGCAGTGCCGAAGCGCGCACAAACAAAATCACACCCTTGGGTTGTGGCAGATTTGTCTAAATCTAAGTAAAAGTTGATACTGTACGTCTCAGGAAATTATTGGCCAAATTGGACAGAACAGGGATTAGAGCTACAGTCATGAGGTAGATATGGCTCTAAGGGAGACAAGAGCAAGTTATCTCGAAAGGAGAGTTATGTGATTGCAGAGCAGGTACCAGTTGTAAGACCTATCCTGTTCAACATTTTCATCACCAATCTTGGTACCAGCACTAGATGTATTCTCATGAAATTTAAGATTGAACTAGATACGTTTATAAAAGGGATAGTAAGTTAGGATAAGGAGTTCATCATAATTCATGTGATGTGAGGTCCTGTGTAGAGTCCCTAGGCTGGGACATAAAAGCAGGCCTCTTATAATGTAGAAGGTGTCAAAAAGCCTCACAGCTTTTCCTGGGACATTGGAATATTGACCAGAGCTAGGGCCTAGAGTTTTTTACTAAGGGCCTTGTTACATGATGCACTTTAATCTTCCCAAATGTTGATCAGTGTTAGCATTAGTTCAAGTTTAGAGTAATTACACATTCAGGCTAAAAATCTTCTCTGACTGTCCCCAATATGCACAGCTGGGACTTGTCAATAGAGGGCTGGCAAGCAGAGACATGATTAGGAGCTACAGCAGCCAGTTGTCCACCCAGAATAGGAGGGTGGGGAGAGAGGACACTGCATCCTGAGAGGCTGGAGGATTGAAACTTGGGCAGCTTATCTCTGGGAAGTGGTCACATATTCATGGAACACTGGCTGGACAATACAAACAAGAGATAAACCCACCCTGACATGGCATAACTTTAAGACACCTTAAGAGTAGGGCTGTGTGAAATTTCACCAGCAGTTTTGTTTCAACGCTGTTTCAATTCATTTCAAGCTCGAAACAGCAAAATCAAATGAAACAGAGAGCTGTAAAACAGCCTCAAAATGAAACAAGGCAAGTCGAAATGTTTTGAAAATTTTGGAACATTTTGAGTTTCAAAGCTCGAGCTGGGCTTGCCTGAAAGGAAACAGGAACTAAAGTAAGGAGAAGAGGGGGAAGGAGTGCTCTCATTATTGATTGTGTAAATGGCCAGTGACTGTCATCCTTTCCTGAGGTCTCTTCCAATCCCAGTGCTCTGGGGGAGGGATGGAAAAACTATATAAAAGGCAGCATTGTTTGAACTGCCCTGCTTTCTGCCTTGGTGTCAGTTGAGTGAGGGCGCACCTTAACACACACACACAGTGTCCCCCATGTCATGAGTTTTGTCTGTCAGCAGCTAGGGGTGCAGGACCCCAGAACCCAGAATCCCCCTGCACCTATCTCCTTAATAGCTGGCAGGCTTCAAAGCCACAGAAAGGCCTAGCAGGCCTGCAGTTTTCACCCCCCTGTGCCACAAGACAGGCACAGTCCCACAAGCACCCATGTCACAAGTTTTGCCTGTCAGCAGCCAGCGGTGCAGGGCCACAAAACCCAGAAGCCCCTGCACCTATTTCCTTGAAAGCTGGCAGGCTTTGTGGCCTCAGCAGGGGCTACCATCCCTGCAGCTTTCATCCTGCTGCACCTTAACACACACAGTATCACCCTTGTCACGAGTTTTGCTTGTCCGCAGCCTGATGTGCAGTTTCCCCCAAACCCCTTCACCTATCTCCTTGAAACTTGGCAGGCTTTGTGGCCTGACCAGGGGCTAGCCTGCCTGCAGTTTTGACCCCACTGTGGCTTAACACATACATGTAACATGATTTTTTTGCTTTCAAGATTTTGAGGTGCAGTTTCCCTGAAACCCCTATACCTATCTTCTTGACCCTTGGCAGGCTTCATGCCCTCAGAGGGGGCTACCATTCCTACAAGTTTCATGCAAATCAGGCCAGAAATGACAAAGTTATAGACTGTTTCATGCTTCCCTATTATAGCCCTTGGACGAAATGTTGTACCAGCAAAACAGTTTCAACAAAACAAAATGGAACAGCGGTTTTGAATCAAAATGAAATTCAAAATGAAACACTGTTCTGTCAAAACATCGAAACACAAGTCAAAACGGAACAGTGCTGTTTTGCACAGCTCTATTAAAGAGTACTTAAAACTAGTTTACACATCTAAGTATAAGAACAATCCAGGGGCTAAGAGCTCTCTGAGTCACCAAAAATTAATGTGTAAC